ACCGACATGGCGGCGATACCGGTGCCTGACTTGGCAGTTCCATAGGCAGCTCCCAGCGCTGAAAACATTAGGTTAAAATGTTTAATAATATGCCCTGGGACTTGTCAAATGTATCCATAACAACTTAGATATCTATTTTGCCTTGGTGGGTAGAAGAAAAACTTTTTACAATATGCTTTTATACTTGACATATCAACAAACCTTTCTACATGTTCATATATCAATTTTTCCTAGAGGCAGTATTCACCCTTAGGCAACTGAGATTTTCACTTACATTCATAGTTGCACTTTAATGGCCACACCCCACTATTACAAACATAACTCAACAGTAAAGATAAATGAAAAACTATGGCAAATAAGGCTTATTTGCCTGTATGTGAAAGATGCAGCAAGTATCAAGTCATGTGATGATTCATAGTGAAACTGCATGAGATTGCCCACTTCCAGTATCTTATTGGATTCTTTATCCTCTCATATAATAGTTTCATGTTCTAATAAGACTCTTATTGCATATTATAAAGACAATACAAGTATGAAGACACACACACAGGCTCCAAATTCATGACATAACCTAAACCTTAAGTACACAAGGAGTCATGTGATTTAATCATTCACAATTCTGTAAGCAACACTTTGCTCCTATTGTTTTAAAGACTACCAATTACTGTGATTTCAATTATAAGGTAATCAGTGATTGTATCTAATGCTTATCTTATGAATTATTATCCATTGTAACTTGTTTCTTTTCAGTCACATGATGACTGGAAATCTAGTTATAACAAATTACTCAATTCATTTAACATGCTTACAGGACAATGTTGGACAAGCATGAATATATAACTCATTGTAAATGTAGTAAAGTTGCAAGTTGAATGAACAGCTGACCCAGTCACATGACATAAGTTAGTCATGTGATGAGTTAAGTTAAACCCATGATTAACCCTATGAATTTCCTTCTCCTGAAAGCCAGGTTTTTATGTATTGTGTTTAGCTAAAACAAGAAGAAGAATACTTGACTAAGACAACTGGAAGTTAACATAAAATTTACGATTCTAAGATACCACAAGTAAATTGGAAAATATTAAATCACTTCATTCTTTCTATGAATGTTTGCCCAATGTGTGGTTTTCCCGTCAATGAACTTTTCCTCAAACAGTAATGAGTATTCATTCATAAATTATTTCGGGTATTCGTAATTTTAGGAGCATTTAATGCTTTCGCATGCAAACTATTGTTGCCGATGCAGACATTTACCAGTGCTGCCAACTTAATCGACAACCAATCAATCACATGACACTAATGATTCACATTAACGTTCCTGAAAACAACGCCCAGAAAACCACCCCTTTTCCCGCAAAATACCGACATCATCCAGATCATTGTCAAATTGGCTCATTTCGTCATGCCTATCTATATATTTATGTAGAGTTAACGTAAAGCACAAGGTGCGGCTATTACTATAATTAGTGCTCCTAAAATAACCAGAATCGAACTGATTAACAAGCACAAATCTAACTGTTTACAACATCCTTCATCCAGATTGGAAGCTTCGAAAATCTCACAACTCATTTTGGGAGATCGATAAAACTCAAGACAGCCATTTGTGCGTTAATAGACTACAATATTACATACCGCTAAAGATGATAGCAGACGCCGCCCCCATGACTCCAAAGAAGGGTCCGTAGATTGGGTTTTCGGCCATTTTGTAGGTTTATTGAGGGAGTATTTACAGGTCCCAAAAACAGTGATGACTATCTGCACACACTCACTCCACGGAACTACTTTTGCACAGACAAATATGGCCCAAGCTTTGCAGACTCGATAGAATGGGTCATATGACGATTGATGTTCAAGGCAGTGCTCGATATGACCTAAGTTCTGATTGGTTTTGATACGTAACTTCCGAAATGCGCGACCAATCCTGAGCTAAAGATTCCGCTACGTTATGACGTAGATCATTGATGTGGACCGCTGGCCAGCACTTTTCTTTTGCGCATGTACTAATTTATCGTTTACGTACTTTTAATATTTCGAATTTCATTGTTTGAAGATGTTTACATATTAACTAAATCAGAAAAATAACAAATTAAATTATTACTTCAGATTCCCTAAAAAAATTACTAACTTCAAAGGAAAAATAATTATTTGAAATTATTAATTATTTTCATATTGATTAAATTTTAATGTTGCCAAGTTATAAAACCTACAAATTTGTAATATTTTCAAAACAAAATCAAAATCAAGCTCTGTACGCCCGGTGAGGTACACAGTGGTGCTTTTGGGATAACATAAAATAATATATTTTATCGTTAATATTTTAAATTCCATGTGTTTTATTTCAAAATTCAACAGAAGAAATAATACACAACAAACCAGATACTGATACTGGTCGCGGGTTTGATTCCCGCATGGAATTACTGTTTGCGTGTTCTTCAAGTTTCGAGTGTCCCATTTACGATTGACCACCACAGATGGGGCCCAGCCAGGTCGCGGGTCAAGTGCAAGAATTTACCGCGGCAGCGGCCTGGAGTGGGAAAAGGAACGGAGGGTTTTTCGCCAGTTAGTGTCTGACACTTCCTCTCTTCATATTCTGGGCGGGAGATTTTCTCTCCACAAAAAGACTCTTATGTGTGTCATAATAATTATCTATGTTTCTAAACGCACCCAACAGAAAAAAGAAAATGTTTCAAACGGTTCGCCACGCCAACTTTTCAATTCCTATTTTTTTTAATTAAATCCTAATTTCGTACCGTATCTATTGTATTTAAAAACATGGATTTTTTGTAAAACTCATATTTCTTTTTATTAGTCTAGAGTTGTTTTTAAATTAACAAGCTCTCTTACTAGCTTTGCCCAATCGCTCGGTTTCGCTTACACTATTTACGATCTCACTATGCAAAGCAGATGGTTTCCAAGCTACAAGAATTGGCACTGGAAGCTGGAAGCTATCCGTCATCCACTACACTCACTATTTTTCCAGAATTTGAATCGCTTCTTGGCGGGAAAATAATCCAATTCTCGAGTGATAGTAGACAATGAAGATCAGATTATTTTGCCTCTCTTTAAGCTTTCTTCAACAAGCTACCAAAACGTTATTTATCAAAGATGTTTTGTTTGCATGGTGTATTACTTTGATTATAGAAAAAAATATATACGCTTCATTTATTTCATCTAAAACGGCAATTTCATATGTGAAAACTTAAATAATTTAGAGAATCGACCACAACCTAAATTCATTGCTATAGGCGACAATGCCAGCCAGCACAGGAACAATTTATTATTACAATACGATTTTCAGATATTCTCAATTGTATGAGATCACTGCAAAGCCCCTCTGGTACAAAAGCGCTTGATGTTTTGTATTTTCAGAAGAATCTTAGTTTTATCATACTGGTATCATTTTATTTTTAACTTAGTTGTTTGGATACACGCCCAAGAAATTATTTTTTCGACATTCATAACTGACATATATTGCTGTATCCGAATATCGAATGAAACGTCAATGGTTGATCACGTGAATAATAATTTTTGGTTTTAACTGGAAATTAATAAATGATTGGTAAAATATTAAGATGAACAGTTTGTTTTTAAGTTTCTTCAAATCCCAACGATTTTATGCTTCAAGTTTAATCGTCTTTTAGTTCTAGACGCCTATGACATCTGTTGCTCACATATGTTTTGGAGAATGTCATTTCTGTCAACTGTCAAATCAATGTAAACACTGCGGTTGTCGCGTGCTTGCGACTGGTCCATGCTTTCGAAAGTTTTGGTTATCGATAAGTTTGTGTATAAATGTTAATAGAGGATTATATGTATTTAACCCGTTACTGAGATTCTAGACGAAAACTGTAACTACCGTAGTGATTATAAAGTTCATCATGAAGTTTCATTACAAGGTATTTTTTCATTATTGTGTTCTGTTTGTCATGGTATTTTATTATTATTAAGTTATTATAAGATATAAACTACTCCTTATGGGTGCTTACGGACTTAATTTAGTTGTGATTAATGAAACCTACTTAATAAACTATAGCAGACGTACATAATTATTGGAATAAACTCAGTTCAATTTTAACATAATAATTTAAAAATAACCTTTAACTTTTCAGTTTCAAAATTTATTGGGTACAGTGTACCGGAAAGGTGATATTTTATTTACTGGCGATGGAAACTGTGTCATAAGTCCTGTAGGAAACAAAATTACAGTCTACAACTTGAAACAGTAAGTAATAAAATCAATAATTTAATAAAGTATAATACATGTAGTGTTTTTATGGTTTTAAGTAGTTATATTTGTAAACCTTTAAAATTACCACATATTGTGTCTGTGTAATCTTCTTGTCACATCAAAAGTTTATTTTTAACTCTTGGTATAAGAACACGACTAGTTTTAATTAGCACCTTCACCCGCACCACAACAATAAAAGGTAGCCTATGTATCAAAATTAGAAATAACAGAAATAACAATTTGAAAGAGTACAGAGTATTACATATTTTTGCATACTTATGTAAAAACAATAATAGAATATATTTGTAAATTATGTCTTGGTGCTTGATGTTCAAAAGTGCCTGTTGTGATCTACTAGAAATAAAGAATTTGATTTGAGGCATGAAGCAATTATCCACACATGAAATGTAATGTTTATTTCATATATTCCAGGAACAAAAGTAATACACTTTCATTTGAAAGTTATTACAACTACACAGCAATTGATGTCTCACCAAATGGATCTACTCTGTTGGCTGTCAATGAAAGTATGCATTATTATTCCATTTAAAATTTTTTTTTGATACAAAAATATATGTACTGTAGTGTGAATTATGTGGTTTAAGGTATTAAAATAAAGGAGGCCTAAATAAATTATTGCATAAAAAAATGCTAGAAATAAAATAGCCTTAATCATCTTTTAGTCCTAAATTGATGATAATTTATTTCAGTTTTTGTTATAGTAATGTTGAATACAGTAATTTTTACGAAATAATTAAAATAGATTTTTTGAAGAAGACTTTTAAACTTTTTTGGTCAAAAATCTTAATATTGTGTTTATGTATGTTGATAACTAATATACAATCTCCATTCATCCAGAGGGTGAGGCGCAAATGATCAGTTTACTGACATGCACAGTGATACACAGATACAAGTTCAAACAGCAGGTCAATGCTGTGAGGTTCAGTCCCGATGGAAAGTACTTTGCCGCTTGTTGTGACGATACAGGTAATGGTAATTTTAAACATTTCAAAAAAAACTCTCATATCTGAATGGACCCAGCACAAGATAGGTAAAAAATTGAGTTTCTTAGAGGAGGCCTTCACTGCAGAGCAGCAGAGGGTTCTTGCATATTTACGCTAACATATATTAGTATAGAATAGAAAAACTTTATTTTACACCAAAATATTAACAAAAGCTATATTTAAGTGAAAACTATTTTAGTTACTTCAATATCAATTTTACTTTTTATTGATTAGGTTTTTAAATTTAGATCTGTTTATATTTTAAGATTTGTATTTTACTTTATCTATACTAATATAATAAAGAGGTAAAATTTGTAAATTTGTATGTAGGGGCTAATCTTTGGAACCGCTGTTCGGATTGCCAAAATTCTTTCACTGATAGATAGCTACAATATTCCTGAGTGCTATAGGCTATTAAACATCACGCTCCGATTAAATGGAGCCGAGCAGCGGGTGAAACCGCGCGAGAGTAGCTATTTTTTTATATTTTCTTTGCAAGAAATAAGTCTTTTTATTGTATTTGTTTATTACTGATGTAGAGCTGAATATTGGAAATATTTGGAAATATATGACATAACTATAATGTATGTTACATTTCATTTTGTTTGGTTGGATATGAAATGATCTTACTTCTTTTTAATGATATTAAAATTAAACAGTATTATATTTGTAATTTTGCTACCATTTACAATTAGTAAAATTAGATAATACTTGTTAATTAATGTTGCTAAGATAGTGTATAAATTAACAATTTAGTATCAGTATTTTGGTGGCACGCAATTTTTTTTTTATGTCATATGTCGGCAAACTAGCAGGCGGATTACCTGACGGTAAGCAATCAACGCCGCTCATGGACCGTTTAGGGATTAGGAATTTGGAGATTTAGAGATTGAAGAGGGATTAGGGGAGAGAAAGGATTGGGCCTCCGGTAACCTTACTCGCACGGCGAAACGCAAAGCTGTGGTTGTTTCACGCCGGTTTTCTGTGAGGACGTGGTATCACTCCGGTCGAGCTGACCCATTCGTGTCGAAGCGTGGCTCTCACAAACTATTTGAATTCACTTAATTCTCTTGATACATAAGTAATACAATACTATTTAATCTGTTCCAGTATTCATAATGACCGCACCATGCACATTCACCGGTGAGTTCCGCTCCTTCGTTATGAAGCGGGTCTTCAAGAAAGCCAGAGACGAAGTGACCTGTATGGACTGGTCTCCTTGTTCCAAACTCCTCGCTGTCGGATCCAAAGACACAACAACAAAAATATACACCGTAGATTATTTAGATAACCTTAGTATGTACTCCTTAAGCGGCCATACTGACAAAATAGTGGGAGTATTCTTTGAGAAGAAAAGTTTGGATTTAATAACTGTCAGTAGGAATGGACAGGTTTGTTTGTGGGAGGCAAATATAGATATAGATGATTTGGTCGTCTCCGATGTACAGATATCTCATCGTAAGAAACGCAAGATAGCTAAGGATGAGGAAAGTGAGGATGAAGTTGATGAAAAAGCTGTTATTGAGAAGGATAAGGAATATGTAAGTATAACTTTTAATGGATATCAACCCGTGGTATATGCGAGACACAATGTGTTCTCTACAGACAGACAAGAGGTTAAACCGGCGTGAAGATAAGCTTCCGTGTAGTTTTCCATTGTTGACATGACTGTACGGTTGGCGCGGTGGTTGGGCAACTGGCTGCCGCGCAACGTGTCGCGGTTTCGATTCCCGCACGGAACAACTCTTTGTGTGATCTACAAATTGTTGTTCCGGGTCTGGGTGTGATGTGTATGTGAAATTGTATGTTTGTAAAGGCACCCACGACACATGAGAAAATACTAGTGTAGGGCAACGTTTTTTTTTAAATAAAATAAAATAAATAAATTGTAAATTAAGTTACTCTTACTTCAATCCTCAAATCCCTAACCTCAAAAGGCTGGCAACGAAACTCCTTGCAGGTATCGACGGAGCTGATTGCTTACCATGAGGTAATCCGTTTGCTCGTTTTGCCGCTCTATCCCATAATAAGATAATAATGCTTAGTTTTTTTTTTTTCAATATTAAACTACTGTTCCAGTCTCAATTCCAATGTTCAACCAGTGAATAAGGTAGTTACCGAAGTAGAAACCTATAAATTAAGTACTTTTATAATTAGAAACATATCATACATTTTGAAACTTCAAAATAGAATACTAGTAGTCTGTCAGTCTGTTCGTCAGTGAAGCTAGGTGCTCGTTCCAAATTGTAGTTTCGAATGGAGGAGAACGAGCAAGAACTTCCATCGATACTCTTATTAAAAATTATTATTTGTTTTACAATTCACTATTAATACATTTTGTATACATTATTGTACCCCTATGTGAGAACAATGCAAAGACAAGTTGTTAATAAAAAGGAACAAAATATATTGGGATATCACATCACACATCATCAGCCTATAAGTGCCCACTGCTGAGCAAAGGCCTCTTTTCACACGGAAAAGGTTTTAAGCATTGATCACCACGCCAGCTCAAGGTGGATTGGTGATTTCAATTTATAATTCGAAATTATAAAACCAGGTTCCTTCACGATGTTTTCGTAACTTAAAAATAACTGGAATACATTAATAATTTTCAGGAAAGTGAAAACGAAGAAGAAGAGAAAGAGACAGAGATAAAATCGGAGGAGGTTTCCAAGTTGTTGTATAAGAAGTTGGGCCGACATTACATTGGGGATGATATAAGGAGCAAACATCATAAGGTCAAGTTGACAGCGGCCCAGTATCATAGGGAAACCAAGATGTTGGTCACAGGTAACCATGTTAAATTAAAACGCATATCCTAGTTAACCTTAAGTGTGGGAGAGCCATGCTTCGGCACGAATGGGTCGGCTCGACCGGAGTGATACCACGGCCTCACAGAAAACCGGCGTGAAACAACCACAGTGTTGTGTTTCGCCGTGTGAGTGAGGTTACCGGAGGCCCAATCCTTCCCCTTCCCTAATCCCTCCCCAGTTCCTAAATCTCCAAATCCCTAATCCCTAAAAGGTCGGCAACGCACTCGTAACTCCTTCTTTGCGGATGTCCATGGGCGGCGCCAAAAACCTACATCTATATCTATCTATACTTTTATACTTATACTATAAAGAGGTAAAATTCGTAAGTTTGTATGTAGGGGGTAAACTTTGGAACCGCTGGTCGGATTTCCAAAATTCTTTCACTGATAGATAGCTACAATGTTCCTGAATGCTATAGGCTCATGCTACATTCTAATGGAGCCGAGCAGCGAGTGAAACCGCTCGGGAATAGCTATTATATTATAAATGTGAAAGTTTGTACGAATATATGCCTATGTGTTTAGTATTTGTTGACGCAAAAACGGCCGGACGGATTTGGTTGAAATTTTGGTTCGAAGGTAGGTGTTACTATGGATTAACACAGGCAGCTGTTGATCAACATACCACGCGAGCAAAGCCATGGGGGAAGGAAAAAGGGTGATGATCTAAATCAATCGATGACGTCACGATTGTTAAGTTTGGTGATAGAACATTATTTTTAGTCTTTGACTGGAGTGGGATTGCAAATCATCAAATGATTTCTCTTGTCCAGGGTACAAGAGTACGTGAGAGGGGGTGTCAGACTCACTGACTGATTCGGTCTCCTGCGTTTGCCCCGCAACACAGACTGGTTGAACGCTCCGCTTGCGCAACAATCTTAACCTTCTTATTTAACTGAAATCCTAATTCCCAAAGCCGGTAAAGCACTCGTAACTACTTTGGTGGTGCGAGTGTTCAGGGGCGGCACCGATTGCTTACCATCAGGTAATTCGTCAGTTCGTTTGCCGACCTACCACACGATATTGCAGCGGCGGAGGAGTTACGATTGCGTTGCCGACCTTTTAGGGATTAGGGGATTTAGGTATGGGGGAGAGGACGCTGGTTTTCTGTGAGGCCGTGGTATCACTCAGTGCCGGTGTAAGGGTCACTGACATCCCTGGCGAAAATATTGTGGCGCCCACTTGAGTGAAGCAATATCAAGTGTTAGATTTTTACTGATCCCAAGTAAAATTAAAAAAAAAAAAACTATTCAAAAATATGCATATGCACAGAACGTAGAGCACAATTCTGAGGGTTCGCCCCATCAAGCCCCCCCCCTAATGCTGGCACTGGTATCACTCCGGTTTGCCACAATTTGACCAGTGATATAAGTTCTTTTTTAAAACAATCCTGTAACATTATTTTCAGGTTTTTCTACGGGAATATTTTATCTACACGAAATGCCTGATGTGAATCTCATTCACACGCTCAGCATATCAGAGCACAGAATAAGCAGTATTGCTATCTCATCTCCCGGTGACTGGATAGCTTTCGGTTGCCCTAATATTGGTCAGCTTCTTGTTTGGGAGTGGCAGAGTAAGTTTTTTCAAATGATTGTCAACTCTATGTTGTTTGTGTTAAGGTTCAATTTTAATTATTATTGTTGTGTTGTTATACTTTTGAATTAAAATTTTGTCATTGGTTTTAAGTTAAATTTTATATTATGTGAATATTCTTGGCGTGAATGACGATAAAAACATTATTTTTTGCTTAGGTAAACCAATCTTACGGCGTTTTTTTAAAGTATAATTTTCAATGACTGAATAAGGGATTTAGATTATAAAATTTTCAATGACTGAACAAGAGATTTAGATTAAACAGTTATAAATCTAAACCACTTGACTTAAAGTCGAATTTCCTGTAAGTATAGGAAATTATTGGGGATGGTAGAAGAACGTTGGAAGTAGTATTACTTCCAACGAAACAAATATCATTCTTAACTACCTAAACATAAAATTCAAATTTCCAGGTGAGCAGTACGTAATGAAGCAACAAGGTCATTCCCTCGATATGACCTGTCTAGCATATTCCCCGGACGGTCTGTATATAGTCACGGGAGGTTATGATGGGAAGGTCAAAGTATGGAACACTACAAATAGTTTTTGCTTTGTGACCTTCAACGAACATAAGTCAACTGTCACTAGTATCACTTTTAGTGCCAACAAGAAGTTCTTCGTGTCTGCCAGTCTGGATGGGACCGTTAGATGCTACGATTTGACTAGGTGAGTTGTTTTGTGTTCGAATTTTTACCTTATTTTGTATTGGTTAAAGTATGTTTTACAGCGTGGTAGGTAAGCTGCGTTTTTCTTGTATTGTAGATATTTATTATTCATTTTTGAAATGGCAGAGATATCTTAACTTATTGACATGTAAATGTAATTTAAAAAAATATTTTTTTTATGTAATCTTTAAACTGTATTCGGAAGCTCGATGCTATAATACATTTTGCATTTTATCCCTAAAGAAATTAGCACTAAAATCTCAGATAAGCCCTCCGCAAAACAATCCAGTCTTTAACTCCCTAACAATAAGCTTTGCAATCCCAGGTACCGCAACTTCCGTACGCTAACATCGCCTTTACTAGTACGTTATAGTTACCTGCCGTTGGAGACTAGCTCTGAGTACTCTACCGAAATCCAATATAGTCTTTAACTCCTTAACAATAAGATCTACAATCCCAGGTACTGCAACTTGCGTACGCTAACATCGAGTACTCTCCCGCAATCCAATATAGTCTTTAAATCCGTAACAATAAGCTCTAAAATCCCAGGTACCACAACATAGAAGCTTTGAACTCTTTTCCGCAATACAATCTAGTCTTTAAGTCCCTAACAATAAGTTCTACAATTATAGGTACCGCAACTTCCGTACGTTAACATCGCCTTTACTAGTACGTTATAGTTACCTGCCGTTGGAGACTAGCTCTGAGTACTCTCCCGCAATCCAATCTAGACTTTAAATCCGTAACAATAAGCTCTACAGGTACAGCAACTTCCGTACGCTAACATCGAGTACTCTCCCGCAATACAATCTAGTCTTTAACGCCCTAACAATAAGCTTTACAATCCCAGGTACCGCAACTTCCGTACGTTAACGTCGCCATCACTAGTCCAGTTCAGTTGTGTGGCGTTGGACGCTAGCTCTGAACTCTGTGCCGCTGGAGGGCAGGATGTCTTCGAAGTCTTCCTCTGGTCCATCAAGTTTGGGAAGCTTTTGGATGTGAGTACAAATTGTATATTTCATTATTTTCTTATGTTATACGTGCAGACGGATTACCTGATGGTAAGCAATCGGCGCCGCCCATGGACACCCGCAACGCTAGAGGATTTGTAAGTGCCTTGCTGATATTATGGGTATAAAGGGTTTTAGGTTAGGGAGGGAAGAAGGGAAAGGAATGATTGGAAATCCAAGTGTAGGAGAGCCATGCATCGGCACTAATGACTCGACCAGAATGATACCACGGCCTCACAGAAAACCAGCAAGAAACAATACTTACGTTATGTTTCGCTGTGTGACTGATGTCACCGGAGGTCTAATCCTTCCCCTTCCATCCTCAATCCTTTGACTGCACGTTTGGTGCGGTGGCTGGGCAACTGGATGCCGTGCAACGTGTCGCGGGTTCGATTCCCGCACGGAATAACTCTTTGTGTGATCCACAAATTGTTGTTCCGGGTCTGGGTGTCATGTGCATGAGGAATTGTATGTTTGTAACCGCACCCACGACACAGGAGAAAATCCTAAAGCGGGGCAACGTTTTTATAACTCACCAAGACCCCTAATATTGAATCCACAATAACACACAAAAGGTCGGCAAAGCACTTGTAGTACTCCTTTGATATTATAGAAACTCCTTTCATATCACGATGTTGCGGGTGTCCATGGGCGGCTCTGATTGCTTACCGTCAGGTAATCCGTCTACTCGATAAAACAGACATTTAATTATTACTTTAACAATTTCTTACTAATTAGGTAGTTTCGTAGGTAAAAATTAAATTAATTCGACATTTCAATACAAGAATACATATGAAAAATAACTAGGTATACTTTTATTCATCGATCGATCGATACCCTAACTTTTAGATATTTTTTAGCTAATTATTACGAATTAAGTAAAGTGACGCAAAAATACTATGACGTCATAACTCAGTTTTTCATACAAATTTCATAGAAAAGTATCGTTTTTGACATTTGGATAAAAGTTTTGAATTTGACTAGTTAGAAACTACCGTATTAATGATTTTGTGCGGCGGATAGTCGCAGTAAATTTTTTTTTTTCATATATTTATCATACCAAACAACCTTTTTTTTAAATAAAACTATTATTTCACACTCCCAGGTTCTAGGAGGCCATGAAGCGCCAGTATCTTGTGTCGCCTTCAGCCCTACATTATCGAGCTCTCGCCTTGTATCCGCGAGTTGGGACAAGACCATTCGTATTTGGAACTGCATTGAGACCAGCGCCGAGTGTGAGACGATTCAACTTACGTCGGACGCTTTGCAAGTTGCGTTCAGACCTGATGGTGAAGAGGTGAGATTTTTAGGTTTTTATTAAATGTATTTTAATCTATACATACAAAGGTAAATAAAATTGTAGTGTCTGTAATATTGAAAAAACAACTTAAAAAAGAAAAAAAAAGTCGGTCTGTTTGATCTGGCTAGTCTTTGGAATGGTTAGACCGATTTTGATCGGGCCTTTATTATTATTAGCTGACGTAATAAGGAGTAACTTAGGCTACTTTCATTTATATAAAAAATATTTTAACATTTTCGCGAACCAAGTCGGTATCTTTGCTTAAATATTATTTATGGGGAATAATAATAATCGAATCAAATTGTCTCACGCGCGCATATGAAATTGATACGTTATATTTTTTTCGAAAAACATATAGGTAGTATTCCAACACCAGACAGCAATTTTCTTATTAAGTGCTGGCAAAATTTGTGGAAAATTGCTAATACTTCAACCTACTTATCACTTGTGTTTTTCAAAACAATTTCAATCGTAACCAAAAAGAAATAACGTTGGAATTCCTCTACCAGATTGCGGTATCGTCTTTAGACGGTAATATAACATTCTTCAATACTACCACGGGCGATCAAACAGGCAGCATTGAAGGGAGAAATGACCTTGGATCCGGTAGAGCTGACACCGACCTCATAACTCCTGAGAAAATGTTAAAGACAAAGTAAGTTGCAATTTCGACTTTATGTAGAGGATGGTTAGGTTGGCTATTTTTTGGGAATGATGAAGTGTCTTAGTACTTTTAGCACATTGACTCTAGTGGGTTAATTGATTCTTAACTTTATTGTCATGTAAGTAGGTCTAAAATAATTTGAGAGTTTTCAGTATTTTCATTGTCTCCGTTTTTGCAATAACAATGAAAGAGTAAATAAAAATTACATTTCTTAATGTACGTATATAAACGGAAGCCTAAATAGGAAATTGGACACAAACTGAAAACTACTAAAAATGTATGTTATTTAAAATTTTAGCTCTTTTTTGCTAATAGTGATTTATATAAGTGTAGTAGAGCTATCGAACTACCGAAAACCGGTGTCAACTAACAGCGTTGTGTTTCTCCGAGCGAGTGAGGTTGCCGGAGGCTGAATCTTTTCCTCCCCCCGTCGCCAATAACGCCCCACTCCCTAATCCTTTTCAGCCGGGGTAGCGGGGTAAGCGCAATGAGGCACCGCGACCTCGGCCCAGAGCAGGAGAAGGAACAGGGGGGTTTTTAGTCAGTAAGAGTCTGACACTCCCTCCCGCCCGGCCCTGGGCGAGAGAAGTCATTTGATGATTTTCCCCTCCCAAAAAAATCCCTAATCCTTCAAATCACAAAAGACGTCCGATAGCTCGATTTGGTTTTCTAAGTTAAACAAATAAGCCTATCTTAAATATTACGATTTCGTATAGTGTAAATATGCATATTACATTTCATTTACAATATTTATTTCGACATATACATAACTACTTTTTCTTTAAATTTATTTCAGAGCGTTCACAACAATATGTTACTCGGCGGACGGTTCCTGTATTCTCGGCGCTGGCAACTCCAAACATGTCTGCCTGTACAGTGTGAGGGAAGCCATACTTATCAAGAAGTTTGTCATCACACAGAACCGATCTTTGGATGCTGTTAATGTGAGTGTCATTATAAACGACGTTAAATTTTTTTTTTGATGAATAATGTAATTGGCAACCAGTTACACTCAAACTGAACGTACCTATGAAATAAGGTATTAAATGTGTAAACGATAGTTCTTGAAGCTTATCATTTTGTAATAACCTTGTAAATTTTTAAACTAGTAGAGCTTTTCTCATCTAATTCAAGTATGTCGTTATTTTCAATAAGGTCAAAGTTCTGTTTAGAATTGCTGATGTGTTAACGTTTGTACAATACCGCCGACGTGTCTTGGCGAGTCTGAAGTTAGCCGATTAGCTGCGCAGTACACAATTTTGTTCCTGAAAGATCCATTGCGCAGACAAACGGCTAACTTCAGACTCGCCAAGATACGGCGGCCGTACTGTACAATTGAAATTTTGCTACAATGTAAGTATATTATTTTTAAGAAACGTATTCTACCTTTTAGACTATTCTTCAATAATTGTAGTCTAACTTCTAGATGACATGTGAGTTATAATGTGTTAAAATTTCGGTTACCGCACGGAACTGTTCATCCGATCTAAGAATTATATTTCTCTGGATTTGGAAGTGACATGCATGTCCAATTGTATACCACATTGAAAGGAAATGAAACCTTAATGTATAATCTTATGATTTAATTTTCGACGCTTTTTTTTCAAAACAGAATCTATGTAACCAGTCAATTCGACGGAAGGAAATTAAATTGTAACACTTGATTTTAAGATTTAATTTTCGACGCCTTTATTTATAGAATATGTAATATAACTTTCTTTTTTTTTCTACCAGGACTTCATAAACCGACGTCTGATGACGGAGTTCGGTAACATGGCGCTTGTAGAAGAGAGGGGTGATTTAGAGGGGGGCGACGTCAATGTCCGCCTGCCGGGCGTTAGGGACGGAGATATGGCTGATAGGAGGGTTAAACCTGAGGTAAGTAGATATATTTGTTTTGTTTTTTTATCGACCAATTTGCTATGGAATGACTAGCAACTTTCTAACCAGCTTTTATTAGCTTGTTTAATCAAGAGAAATAAGTACTCTTGATTAATAAAAAATACGGATTCTTATGAGTTTGGGAGATTCGAGAGAAAACTATGCTTAGGCATGAATGGATCGGCTCGACCAGAGTGATACCACGGCCTCACAGAAAACTGGCGTGAAACAATCACAACGTTGTGCTTCGCTCAGGCTGAATCTCCAATACATTAATGCCCAAAAGGTCAGCTACGCACTCGTGACTTCTCCGTTGTTGCGGGTGTCAATAGGCGGCATTAATTGCTTACATTAATTGGTAATACGTCTGATCGTTGGCCATCCTAGGCACATAAAAAAATGTATGAATGAACTTATGATTATTTTTAAGTGTGTCTCTCATTTTGTAAGTTAAAATAATTTCTTTTTGTCTTAGGAAACTACCCAATTCAAGTTGTTTGTAATAGGTTATATTATTATTATGTTATTTTGTCATCAGGTGCGTGTCCACTGCGTTAGATTCTCACCAACCGGTGACAGTTTTGCAGTGGCTGCCACTGAAGGTTTGCTCATATACAGCCAGAATGCAGGCATCGATGGCACGTTCAGGTACTTAGAAATTCATATTCCATACTTTAACAGCTGGGGTTGCAGAGTCTGGGCCTAGAGCAGGAGAATTATAGAACTCCTTTTTTCGTCTTCACTCATTCCTTATTTGACCGCACCCACAAGGCGAGAAAAGGAAATTGACGATTTTTTCCTTAAAAAAAAGGGTTTCTAAACGTAGTATGTACCAAATTTGCTTGAATGTGATTATTTTAGGTATTCGATGGAAAAATAAACTTCTGATCATTAATTAAGATTACAAACACACACTATGAGACAATGAATACACACGTCGAAATTAAATATGTAAAAGAACTAGATGAAGCAGGCCTTTTCTATCTGACTACTTTAGGAAAAAATGCTGAAACAGAGATAATGTTTAATAATGTTCTCCAACGTTCGATCATTATTATACATGATTTTTAAAAATCTGAATATAAAATGCTTTTTTATTGTGAGGGGAAAATCATCAAATGACTTCTCCCGCCCAGGGCCGGGCAGGAGGGAGTGTCATACTCTTACTGACTAAAAACCTCCCTGTTCCTTCTCCTGCTCTGTGCCGAGGTCGCGGTACCTCATTGCGCTTACCCCGCAACCCCGGATGAACATCAGCCCTATAGGGCCCCGTCTGTGGTGGTCTATTGGCTCTTTGAGGCGCGCGCGGAACGCTACGCGCCGTACGCTCGGGCCTGGTTCTGGTCGGGCGGCGAGCTGCCCTTACTCGCCGACCGCAGGCCCGTACTTACGGTGGCCGGAGATCGTCCCTCGATCCCCGACGCCCGTAGTGTCGCCAGTTGCGGCTGCTAGGGCGTGAGGAGGAGGATTGCTCCCTCACGCGGGCCGCCTCTCTCTTTGCGGAATAATAAATAAAATGCTTGAAGTCACGATTTAGACTCTAAAACAGTACCTTTAAGGCACACATTTCGTTTTACACATGATTATTTTCTTTCTCAGGCCGTTCCGGTTAGAAGCCGGTTCGACTCCATATGCGGTAAAACAGCATCTATCAGAGGAGGCCTGGGGCTCCGCCCTCGTGGCCGCCTTGCAGCTTAACGAGCACTCCGTCATACAACAGTGCGTGGAGGCTGTTCCAGCTAATGATAGTAAGTTAATTTTAAACTACTGGAAACAATTAGGGTAAACTTGCCTAATTCGTACCACTTAAGGAGAACCTCGAAAATTTTGAAAATGAACAATGATACACAGTTATTTATATTAAGTAGTTATAAATAAACTAATGTTCTATTAGTATTCCGATAAAATATAACATAAATCTTATAAACTTCTGAGAAATAAACAATTTTCAAAAACTTAAAAAAGTACGATTTAAGACCATTGATCTTAAATCGTACCAGTATATTCTTAAATCGTACTTTGAGATCCTATCATTGTTTTACAGTCTTAAAAATCACAATCTTAATAATCTTCTACTCTTTTTTATCTTAATGTACCTAGATTACCTAATTCTTATTAATACAGCGGATGGTCTTTTCCAAATATTGAAAGTCATCGCAGTAATAAAATTTAGTTTTTTTTAATTCGTCTTGCACATAGCTCATGTACCCATACTTCACAATTACTGCATAAAATAAGGTTTTTTTTTAGTTTTATTAAATAAAAACACAAACTAAAAAATAATCAAGTAAGTAATTAATATTTACTGTGATATTAAACATTGTTTTCCTAAATCGTGAGTACGTACGTTTTAAGAAGTTGGTGAGAGTACGAATTAGGCACAAGTATCAAATAAATTTCAAATTAGCCGCAAAAAAAACTGTCAACCAACAAACCGGCTTTACCATGTGAAATATATTCACAAATATACGTATAAATATATAATAAACAGTTAAACAACTTATGAACGGTATACTTGGAAGACAGTTCTTGTGAAGTATGCAAAAAAATAACTCAAAACGTGAGAAAAAGTGAGAAAAATCTTACCCGTTCAATATTTTTGTCGGGAGCAACGTAACAGGTGTTTATTTGTCATATGGCAATCTGGCCGACTATTATTGACATTTTATGCCATCAGAGGCGTTGGTAACTATTACCCATGCCGAGATATAGACGAGGTACGATTTAGGCGCAGGTACGAATTAAGCAAGTTTACCTATATAGCAGGTCACACATAGGTTCATTACAATACGGTAGTTTCTAATTAGTCAAATTCAATACTTTTATCCAAATGTCAAAAACGATACTTTTTTATGTAATTTGTATGAAAAACTGAGTTGTGACGTCATAGTTTTTTTGTGTCAAATTATCAGCTTTTTATTTCTTAATAATTGGCTACAAAAACCTATCTATTACTACCTAGCTATCTAAAACTTAGTGTATGTATCGATCGATGAATAAAAGTATAGTTATTTTTCAATATTTTATTGTATTGAGACGCCCAATTAATTTATTTTTGACCTAGGAAACTACCCAATTACAATAAAAAAAAGCAATGGTGTTTGGCGAATGGGCTTCTCCCAGTATTAGAAAATGTTTAAGATATAAAGTGTCAGTCCGTCGGTCAGTCCTCTTAGTGAAGCTGTTTGCTTGTTCCAAAATGTAGAAAAACGGACAAGAAACTCCATGGTTATAAATCAACACTTAATCCATCTAACAGCATATTTTTCTCTCTCCAGTTACATTAACAGTAGCGAATTTAGACGACGAATACTCAGACCGCCTGCTGAACTCGATAGCTAGACTTCTGGAGGACAGTCGACACCTGGAACACCTGCTCCTCTGGGTGAAGGCTCTGGTCACAGTCAAGAGGAGGAAGTTCCCTCCCAGTGTTCTATTGGCGCTGGAGAAAGTACTCACTGTCAAGTATTCGCAGATTAGCAAGATGTAAGTACAATTTTTTATGTTATTATTGTTATGTCGGCAAACGACGAGACAGATCTGGTAGTAAGAAATAAGCGTCTTCCTGCAACACAAAAAGCGTTACAAGCATGTTGATGACCGTTATGAGATTTTCCTTGTTTTTTTGGGTTTTAAAATCAATTAAAAAAAAAACATTTTAAATATACAGTTACTTTTATAACCTGTACTTATTTCTATCGTATTACGTTTTTTTTTATTAAACATCTACAATAAGGAATACAAAACGGAAAGAAAGTACATAAAAGTGTGTGAAACGGCCCTCGCTCAGCATAGTGCTGAGACCCTAAACGGGACAAAGCCTCAGCGCTGATGTTTAGTGCAAGCTGATGAGAGTACGTCCGATTGATTTTGAACGTTATACTTTCGTAATAAAATTGCAAATTTATAAATATAAGAAATAAACCAAACTAATTTTTAAAGTCACATTTTATTACGTGGATTCATAAATTGCTTTTCCGAATATCATATTCAATCTGTTGATTGACTACACTGACTGACTGACTGACTTGCTGTCGCATACGTCACGTCATGAACCAGAACTCACCGAGATATTTATAACATAACAACTTAGTTGTTAGTTCGCGTATTTCCTTAAGGTTTCATCTGATCCTCGGTGTAAAAATAAACTTGTGATGTGGGTCAATAATGTCTCTATTACCCATTATTCTCAAAAGGAGATGTTTAGATATGGTATAGTAAGTTTGGGAAACCCAAGTTAAAAAAAGACTTCTGTCGCGAAACAACTAAAGCGTTATATTTCACTGTGTGAATGAGGTTACCAGAGGCCTAATCCTATCTTCCCCCACCACCAATCCTCAAAATCCCAATCGTAGCTGTCCAGCAACGCTGTCGTAGCAATCCTTATTTAGAATGATTTGAATGCGTCCGAAATCCAGATTCAACTGAAATGTTAGTTAGATCACTGAACCACTTCAAAACTACTTATGAGTGTATTGTGTGTAGCATTTTGTCGTGTTTAAAAAGCCTACAATTACCACCTTCAGATGAAAAACACCAGGTAATCTCATGTGGCACATAACGTTCTAAATTACAATCCATCTTTAACTTACTGGCTATCCAGACAATACGAAACAGGCTCTAAGCCAAAGAATTAATGAACTTACAACTTTATACCTTCCTGTCCATACCATAAAGTGTAATTTCCAAACTTGTAAGAACATGGACCGTCTATCACCTGAGCCTAGATTACACGTAACATCAATAAATCACACGCGAGTCAAGTCGTGACGGTTGTAAGGTCAAGCGCACGATAGCGTAGTCTTCCAACTCCTTACAATTTAGATCGACCTTGAATTTTGTCGCGAGCCGTCCATTTTTTCCGCGCTATTGTTCAAAAGATTTGTTGGACTAAAAATGGCATTGTGATAATGTTATTGTCATGGCTGAATAACGTCCTGGTTTTGATTTCTTAGTTATAATTGATGACTAGAAGATTTTCTTTTATATCATCAGTCATCATAAGTTTGTGAGTCTTTTTCTGTACGACGTTCTTGAGTTTAGATCAAATCAAATCAAATCAAAATCATTTATTCCAACTAAACCATAAATAGGTACTTTTGAAACGTCAAAATAGAATTGTAATCTGTCAGTCTGTTCGTCAGTGAAGGTAGGTGCTCGTTCCAAATTGTAGTTTCGAATGGAGAAAAACGAGAAAGAATTTCGATAGTTACTCTTAAAAAAAAAATTTTTACAATTCACCAATAATACATTTTTTATACATTACTGTACCCCTATGTGAGAAAAATGCAGAGACAAGTTGTCTGATCGTCTTTGTTAGAGAGCAATGTCTTAAGTTAAGTCTTGACTGCCGATGACTTCTTCCGCCCTGGGGAAAGCGAGGGGCAGAAACAGACTCTCAATAATTAAAAACATCCTGTTTCTAGTACCAGTTTGTTCTTTGCGCACTATCTACAACCTAAAAGTGTGGACTTTAGGTCGACTTCTAAAATGGCACTTTTGTTAAAATATAGAAGTTGACTGTCGGACGGATACCCAATACTAAGGCTATTTACTTCGTTTCAAAGAGTTCATTCCAATGTCTTCTACATAACGAGCAATTTCATAATTTAACTTTTATCCAGTCAGGTCTAAAACGACTGATAGGTGCGGAAAATTCTTTGTTGAACGTTATCGTTCGATGAGATTGAATATCCTAAGATATCGAGATAGTGAGAAGGGTACACCTTACACAAAATGTCTAGCCGTGTACCTGTATCATAAATCAAACTGATGTATTGCCCAGATTTAAGCCTGGAATTTCGATTTTTTAGCTACATGCTCTAAGTATTATTTATGTTTAGGTTTGAGTTATATAAGAGACGATGATGTAAAATTTAACAAATTACTTGGGAAATGAAATACGATCGATGGGTGACTTAAAAAGAAGGTTTCATTAATTCTGGTCAATATGATAGTTGTGTCATAAGCCGGTAACGGTAGACATAATATGTGTCACCATTCCTGCATAGACTAAAAGGTTATTTTGCGGAACTATCGCAGACGCGGTTAAACTTACTTTTATAGATTGTAAAGATGACCTATAATTTGAAAGACCACGGTCTGCCTGTTCTCAGGTCTCATAGTTTCGAAAAAACAACGAACAGAGCGATAATTACATTTGGTTCGTATAGAAGGTTCACGTTCGCTGCTTAAACAAGTTGTCCAATCGGCTCGTAGTAGTCCCATTTCAGAGTTATGACCCTGATTGATTTACATCAGGTTCTTTCGTCAACTTTTCCCAAAATAATCTACAATATCATCTTTTGGGAGTTAGGAATTCGGGGATTTGGGGAGTTTGAGATCTAGAAATAACTTCTCCTTTTCAGCAAAAAACAGCGCAAGCGATACTAAACGATGCCTAAATTCAATATGACGACATTTCAAGGTCACATCGATCGGTATTCGCGCGTTATAACACCAAAGTTTACTGTATCAATTTGCACGTGATACAAATCAGCTGATCGCGTCTCGCGTTACTAAACACCGACACTCAGCTGATTTTGGAGTTTTATATATTTGATAACACAGGGGGGAGGCCTTTGTCCAGCAGTAAAACGTTTTTCGGCTGATGATGATAACACTTTGCTTTGAAAATGAGTTTTAAATTCATTATTATAACTGTCTTATTTTATTAGTCAATATAAACTATAAATATCTGAGTACGCGGTTCAGTCCTTAAGGTATCAACTTGTCGGGGTTGCGGGTGTAAGCGCAAGTAGGTATAATGTACCGCTCCTCCGGCTTGGAGCAGGAGAAGGAACGGGGTGGTTTTTAGTCAGTAAGAGTCTGACACTTCCTCTTGCCCCCCCAGTGCGGGAGAAGTGATTTGATGATTTATTAATAAAACAAACTTAGGTAAATATTGAGGGTTATTTTTTTGTTATTGGTCATTTTATGATCTTTGATTGTACTACTCTTATAGTTGTACAATCGGAAAAACAATCAATGTAAAATAGTGTGGGAATTTAACACAATAGCAATGAATGATACTCATCTAAATATATCTAGTTAGTTACCTAACAATTTAAATTACCAACGTAGTAGTCGAGGTTAAAAATTATGCTAGATTTCTTGTTGTTAGGCACGATGTCATAAGGCGTTTTGCCAATCTTAAAAAAGTTACCTAAATTGGATTTGTTTATTATATAGGTATTTTCTACTTTGTCGTTTTGTAATAAACTTGAAAATTACTAAAAAGGAAATTAATAAGATAGCATATGAAGTAGCTAAGTTCCAGTCTGTGTCCACTACACCCTTGTTTAAAGGCTTCACACACACAGATCTTAGAGCCGTCCCCAAAAGTTAAGCTTTTGATGTCATTTGTGGTAGGTTATAATAGATCAACTAGAGTTTACACCAGATAGGTAACAACATTCTTTAAAAAAACTTGTACATAGACTGTGACTTTAATTTTGTTTCTTCCTAGTACTGATCTAATTAAGAAATGCCGGCAACATCAACCTTATTTTCTAGTAGCTAAGTAGCTTTATTAAAGAACCGACGAACGGACTGTTCAACTCATTTTTTTGCGCTTCAAATGCCTTCAAATCTTATTAAAATAAATGACCTTCTATGATCACAGCTGCTATAGAAATTTCAACCAAATGTGTCAATAGTGTCGGTTCAGAGTCGGTTAAATGAGCAGTCTTAGTTCGTTTCCATTAAGAGATTTTACGTAAGAAATTGAATGAAAAGGCACGTTTGCGGAGATGTGCGTTCGTCGTACATTGCAAGATCGGGCCGCGTGATCTCTCGCGCAACTTAAACATAATGAGAAATGTATAAGGAACGCATGTCGCCTCGCATCTCCTTATACGACGCCTAATATTGTCATCAACTGCTTATCGTAATGTGAAAGAACTGTTTCAAGGACACGGGTGACCTAGTGATGTACTTACAATCTGTCATATCCACTCGTTGATAACATTTCTTCTGATATGAAACTAACGGAGGTTGTATGTTGCTTGCAGTTGCTTCAGAATGATGGAGCTATCTTTAGGTATATGTGATTCATTTTCTGCATTGAAACCAGGATCATATTGACAATTGACTAACAACCACTCCGTACCTTCTCCTCTCCCAGGTCGAAGTTGCGGTACCTTGATGCTCTTGCCCCGTCGGTTCTATGGATTGAACTGTATTGAAGTGACTATATTGTTACGGCTTTCTAGGCATATAGGATAAAATGAACTAGAGGTTTCAGAGAAGAAACCGGTTTGAAACCGCTGCAACGTCTACTCGGCACTAGTTAATTAAGGCGTATTTACCAATAAATCAAATCAAATTTGTTCTTGACAAATTTAGATAGATTCGTCTGTAAACTTTGACAGCAACAATCAACATACACTTATTCGAAAGCTATGTTAATTGCACAAATTTTTACCTTTCCTAATAATAAATGCGGTGATCAACGTCTGATTTCTCGTTTCTTTACAGATGTGACTTCAATAAATACACGATACGCTGCATCAAGACAGTTAGTGAAATGGCGCCGAAGATGGAAGTGGATGACCAGATGGACAGTGATAATGAATCCAGTGGACGAGGCACATTCTCTGATACAGACTAGATAGGGATTTAGGAATAAATTTTATAATATCAAATCTGTTGTTTTATTTTCTGCTATACCTGACCTTGTTAACCGCGGGTAGGCGTTTTTGGTTTTGAACGCAAACTGATATTTATCCGCTTTCAGATTTCAAAATCGATTTCTAAATCCGTTTTTTGAAATTTGATTTCTAAAACGCCAAGCTTCGCCAATTCGCTTGCGTACTTACCGTTAGATATCCGAGAACCGAAATCTAAAACAAAATTCGCGCTATCTTTTTTACTCCGCTAAAGTTACGATTAGTTAGAAAGAGAGAGAGCGAATTTCTTACAAAACCCAAACGCAAACTGGTGGCCAGTATGCGTTTTTAGCATTTTGATTCCGTTTGGTGATGAGATTGAGTGATTTTATTGTCGATCCGTTTGGTGGTAGATCGTTAGCGTTTGATTCGGCTAGGTAGATTTTTGAAATCCAATCTTTAAGTCTGAGAAATTGATACGAATCGATTTTTGTATGAAATCGGATTTTGAATTCGTTTTGATATATCGGACCCATGCCTAACCGCGGGTGTCCAAGTACCTCGGATTCATTTGTTTTGTTATCCAACCGCCACGGCATCAATGGTTGTTAATTCCCGATTTAAAGAGGCCCGCTCAATCGGAGTAATACCACGGCCTCATAGCAACAACCACAACATTGTTAAACGTGTGTGGCGAGGCCACCAGAGGCCCTACTCATCCCCTCCTACCAATCCTTTTCCCTAATCTTAAAATCTTCAAAGCCTCTTATTCGCATAAGGCCGGCAACGCACTTGGAGCTGCACTGGTGTTGTTAGAGTCCGGTAATCCGCAAGCTTGTTAGAAAAAATCCTCTGACTTTAGAAAAAAAAACAGCATATAATAATTACTAGAATAGTTTACTGTTCACGGATGATAGCACGACCAAAGGGAAGTGGGATTATGTATGGACTATGGGTGATGCTCAAATTAGCGTTTTGAGCATTAAGAGAAAAATGAAATGAATATACCTACTAGAGAAAAGCATACGCTACTCTAAAAATAATACTTATATTCAGTGAAATCTGGTAAGGATTCAGTGCTAGCCTTGGGTGTAAGGGTCAGCTCACACATAAATGCGACGCGACGCTGCGAGAACACTTAAAATAGCTGCTCAAAGGAGAAAATCATCATGTTATCACCAGCAGGGCCTGAATATAACCAAGTGGCGAATAGTTATACCTCAACAAGTACACAACGGGGCGTCTTTTCGGTATTAACGATTTTTATGGCGGTCTCTTCCAATATAGCGCGTCGCGTCGCATCTCGATGTGAATTCACCCTTAACCTGTCTGAAATTACAGAACCTACGTGTTTCTGGTTTTATTCTTAAAGAAGCACTAGTACCTAAATTATACCTATAAATATAATGATGACTTTTACCTTTTAAAACGTCCTATGTAGATATCTACTCCAATACAATATGAAAAATGCATTTATTAAAAACGTTTCTTTTACCTATTTTTATTTTAAATATTCAAAGCCAGTCACTTCGTATGCGCACAAGGAAATATTTATTTACATTTAAATTAACTGATAGTTTTAACTTAGGGCTTGTTAGGGATTAGCCCAACAGGGACATGTTATGCTAGGTTAGGTTTGTGTTGACGGATGATCGTAATTCATACTTATTTGAAGTTAAAAGTTTAAAACAAATGAAACGAAGCAGCACCGTCAATTTCCTTTATTTACATGAGTAACGCTAGGTCCTAGAATAAAGCTAACTGAGTTACTATTGCGTGGCCACGAGAGTAGCGCATTCGCTCTTGCGACCGCTACCGCTGACGTCACAACTGCTATTATGGCTACCGTCAGCAGGAACCATCGAGCTATTTCCACGTAGCCTAGGAGTTTGTGCGAGTCGCGAAGTTCTTGTTGTATTGACGCTGGTATAGTGGCCCCCTGTAATAAAAATAAAGAATAGTTTTTATAACAAGTTTAATAAATTTATTCAAGTGTGGGAGAGTCATGCTTCGGCACAATTGGGTCGGCTCGACCGGAGTGATACCACGGCCTCACAGAAAACCGGAGTGAAACAACCACAGCGTTGTGTTTCGCCGTGTGAGTGAGGTTACCGGAGGCCCAATCCTTCCCTTCCCCCAATCCCTAAATCTCCAAATCCCTAATCCCTAAAAGGTCGGCAACGCACTCGTAACTCCTCCGTTGCGAGTGTCCATGGGCGTCGCTCATTGCTTACCATCGGGTAATCCGTCTGCTCGTTTGCCGACCTATTAAATAAAAAAAAAAACAAAATTTAGGTCAGAGTTGTTTGCCGGGGTTGGTAGTTAAGCGCAAAAGTCAATAATGTGACGAGGTCTCGACCTAAAGCAGGAGAAGAAAGGGGGTGCTCTTTAGTCAGCTTGTTTGAGACTCCCTCTTGCCAAGGGCGGGAGAAGTCATTCAAACTAATATTATAAATGCGAAAGTAACTCTGTGTGCCTGTCTGTCTGTATTTTCTTCACGCCTAAACTACTGAACCGATTTCTGTGAAATTCGGCACAGACATAGTTTGAAACTTGAGAAAGGGCATAGCATAGTTTTTTTATTAATAATCTGCAGGAAGTCACTATTCCACGCGAACGGAGTCGCGGACAAAAGCTAGTTACCTAATAATAATTAGATTATTCCCCCCAAGAAAAAAAAACTTTGGTTTTTGTTTGAAGAAATTAATACTACTTACTTTGTGTAGAACTGTAGAGCTATTATCTATTTAATTTCAATAATTTTAGCTGCTGTGGCTACCTTAGTTTTGAATCATAGAAACGTAGCTATAACAACATGTTTACAAAGTGTAATACGTAAACGATTAATTGATTACGTGCTTTATAAAAAAGAAATAAGAGTGCATTTTGTAATAAATCTATGACTTGGCTACTGACCTGTACTTGAAAAACATTTTTCGTTATATCAGTCCATTCCATGTCATGTTTATCTCGTTTACTTTAGAAAGAGATAATGTTGATAGGGAAGGTACACTAATGCCCGGTTCCTATATTTAACGAATCGTCGTTGTATACGCATTACAACCAAATGACATTACGAATAGTTATCTTGACCGTCTACTGACGGTTAAAATATTTATAGGAACACCACAGACACGATAGATCTCCATACAATTCGCTTACCGACATCCGTTAGTTGCAAACCGTCAGTAAGTTGCACGACGAGACGTTTGTTATAGGAACGGTTTTAGCTTACGAGTCGTATATAAAACTACTATTCGTAACTAAAACGGATCGTTTCTCAATTATAGGAACCGGGCATTAAATGTTACGTTCGTACCTACGTAATATGTTGGTAGGTACATATGTATGTGTACTTATCTACAGTCAACACTGCTGTTATGAAATTATTTTATCTAAGTAGGTAGGTAGTTAGTGTTACTAAAGGTGTAACACTATACTAACGTCTATACTCGGTTAGCAGGTCTATGGAAAGCGAGGAAGCTCGTCATCGATCAGAACCAGACTCTAACACTCGGTTTCCGAAAGGTCGATCAATGTTAAAATCAATTTAATCTCTTGTCAAGTCATCTGATTGGTTGACTGAATTATCAACAACCAATCAAATGGCATGACAAGAGATTTAACAGAAGATTAGTTAATTTTAGCGTTGACAAGCCTTTCAGAAACCGAGTGTAAGAGCTCTAGTAGCCATGCAGACCATCTATGTGATGGTCTGCATGGAGGTTTTTGGTCCGTAGGAGTTTGGCACTTCATCTAGGCTCACCTAGAGCGGGAGAAGACAATACGGTAGTTGCCGACTAGTCAAATTCAATTCTTTCATCCAAATGTCAAAAACGATATCTACTTTTCTATGAAATTTGTACGACAAACTCAGTTATGAAGTCATAGTTTTTTTTGCGTCAAATAGTTTATATATTTCTTAATAATTAGCTGCAAAAATATCTAAAATTCAGTGTATCGATCGATCGATGAATAAAAGTATAGTTTTTTTCAATATTTGATGGTATTAAAAGGTCGAATTAATTTATTTTTGACCTAGGAAACTACCTAATTGATGGTTTTCTTTAATCAAAAAAAGTCCCTTTCCAATTTCCAAAAAAAGTCCAATTTAGATAGGGGATCTAAATTGGACTCTAGAGTCATAATCCATAAATCCCTAACTCTCAAAAGGTCGGGAATCACTTGAAACTCCAGGGTGTTTGCGGTGGCTATGATCAGCGCTGATTGTTTACCATCAGCTACAGGTATTGCTTTTATACTACATAAAAAATACACCTGGCACGTAAACCAAGTTTTCTCTCTATTTTCACAGCGAAGAATCAGCATAATCTCTTGAAATGAAACATTCAAGATTTTTCCTAAGAGCGATTCGCACTTGATTTATGAAAGGAATATTTTTTATAAAACATCTGGTCTGCATTGCGGGATGCATTTTATCATTGGCAGCCAGCCAACAGCTTTCTTCTTACGAATGAAATATTTGTGAATAGGTAAGAAATCTGTTACTATATTTTATGAAAAACTTGTGACGTCGATAAGATCTGTTTGAGGAAAAACTGATAAAGTATGAGATTAGGTATTTTTACTGAAAGATAATTGCACAGAGGTAGGTACTCAGTTCCATGTACCTAGTGTTCATTATATTGGCTACGAGAAGATCATAAGTATTTAGAAAGAAAAGAAAGAAAGAGATTATGCTTCATTGAAAATAGGTGCTCGGCGAATTTGAATTAGCGGACTCAATGCCTCGGGCAAAAACACATTCTCTAATCGTCACCCACAGGGTGGTATCGAAAGTTAAAACGAATTTTAGTGTTTAAGTTATAAATAGTAGATGAACAGATGAGATCCACCCAATTAGTGTTTCCATAATTTTTGACTCACAATTTACTAAAAACTTGTAACAAAAGAATATAATTGTAACTCGAATAAGATAGGTGGGAGTATTATCTAATGACTTCTCTCACCCAGGGTGGGGTAAGAAGGAATGTCAGACCCTTACTGACCAAAAACCACCCTGTTCCTTGTCCTGCTTCAGACCGAAGCTGCAGTACAATGATGACAGGTCGACCTAATAATAATCTACATACCTAGGTAAGTATATCTTAGATGACATAGGTATACTTACCACATTTTCACTTTTCCTTATATTAAGTATTTTGAATAGGACTTTAAGATATAATGTCTAGCGGGCATTAATCGGATTAATTTACGTCGATTAAGTGTGGGAGAGCCACGCTTGGGCACGAATGGGTAGGCTCGACCAGAGTGATACCACGGCCTCACAGAAAACTGGCGTTAAACAATCGGAGCGTTGTATTTCGCCGTGTGAGTGAGGTTACCGGCGGATGACCAGAAATCCTTCTCCTTCCCTAATCCCTAAATCTCCAAATCCCTAATCCCTAAAAGGTCAGCAACGCACTCGTAACTTCTCCGTTGCGGGAGTCTATGGGTGTGCGCTGATTGCTTACCGTCAGGTCTGATCATTGGCCGACTTATTACATGAAAATATAAAACTTGCTCAAGCAGCAAAAAAATAAAATTTATTTTGAGTAAAACTTACCTCTTCCAACCAAAGCATAGGGAATAAACCCGTTGGTACTCTCTTCAGTTGAGTAACTGTGTCAATTTGGCGCAGTTCTATGTTGAACTGAAGTCTTTTTAGTCCAGACAGAACCACGCCACTAGTCTGAAAACATATAGGAACGTCACTACATAGTATAAAATAAAGTCGCTTTCTCTGTCCCTATATCTGTACATACTGTATCTTTATATGTTTAATAACACTTATTAAATAGTGAAGACATTTAGTATCAACATTGCACTCGTGTCTATGTCCATGCGCTGGGGTTGGGATAGGGATAAAGAAATTTGGGGTCAATGAAAAAGGTAGACATTTGATTTAAGAAAGCGCAATTTTGGGGACCTACTACTTTTGAAGCATAGAAACAAATACAGACATAAAAACAAAGACAGGATTATGAAGAATATTCTAGTGGTTGCTGTAAAAATGCTGCAATTTAAGGGACGTACTCTTCTTTAAGCGTAGAAACAAATAAAACGTTTATGAAGATCCCTTGAAGTCTAACTGCATACGTTAAAGAAAAGTCTGGCTAGTGTCGTTAGTCTCTGACTCCAAATTACAATTTTGAGCTCGTGACCAAAAAGCATGGGTTATGATATTGTGTTTGTATTCCGTTAATTTTGTTCATTATAATATGACTAATAATATAACAAAAAACAAAAATATGCTCTTTATTCTTCCTGTTGATTTTGGCTTGGTTACTTCTATACTTATTTATATCTAAAGAAGTTTATCAGAAGAGAGTTGTCCATGTTAGGTATGCTAAATCTATGGAACTTACCGGGTCAATATAAACGTAAGTGTTATGCTTCTCCTTGTCAGGTTTAATGCCTGATCCGAAGTACTCCAGAAGTTCTTCGGAGCCAAGGAAGAAGTGAGGTAGAGAGGCAATGGCTGGGGCGCCCTGACAAGGCATTAAGTTCAGCAGTCCCATCAGAAGACAACCGTCATGGTTTGCGCTCCAGTTCCTGGTGAACATTTTTCGTTTTTTTACATTGTAGATAGGTAGTATTTTAAGTGTGAGAGAGCCATGTTTCGGCACGAATGGGTCGGCTCAACCGGAGTGATACCATGGCCTCACAGAAAACCGGCGTGAAACAACCACAGCGTTGTGTTTTGCCGTGTGAATGGGGTCACGAGAGGCCCAATCCCTTCCTCTCCCCTATCACTTTCCAAACCTTAAATATCTGCAAAATATCTAATTTCTATCTTATCCCCAAAAGGCCTGCCGGCTTGACACTTGAAAGGGTTGATACACCCGTAAATTTGGTTTGTGTCTATGGGCGGCGCCGACTGCTTACCTTCAGGTAATCCGTCAGTTCGTTTGGCGAATATAATACTTATCCCATAAAAAAATTAGGTAGGGATTTGTGGCAGGCATTTTAAAGATCGTGGTTTAGATTCAGATTGATCAGAGTCCGCTGCTGCCCTCGGCTGTGCTCTGGCTGATCTCGGCATACGGGCAGACGGATTACCTGATGGTAAGTAATCGGCGCCGCGCGGACAGGTAGATTCATAGATCTTAAACATTAGAATCAACAGCTGGTCTCGCGATATAATATTTATCATTTTTGAAACAAATGCCACTGAAATATATATTTGGGAGTTCATAACCTCAAGTCTAGCTAGGTAATTAATTTAAACATCAGTTGTAAGTTGATAGACGACTGTGGTAACATGTGCGTAATGATTTTCATATTATCATTAATCAAATCGTGCGAGATGCGTTGCTTTATAGATCTTGAACATTACATTAATCATTAATCATTCAAACAAAGACAAAGGCTCTTAATAAGCATTAAAAGTTACATACTTTTTGCAAAAACATCTGTTGTTCGGATTGGCACTTTTCGCTGCAAACGCTGACTCCGAGATCTCGTAGTAATATGCGCTGATGTTGAAGATTTCTTTCTTGCCCACTAAATCCACATAGACGGACCTGCAGAACAATGAAATGAGGGTTAAAATACGTTGGAATGTCTTTTACAGCGTAATTTTGTCGTGTATAAAGCAAGGATTTGTACTGAAGGTCTCACTTGGGACTAAAATGGAAGAATAAATTAGGTAATTTAAAGCGTAATGATGTTTTTGGTCTGATGCGTCTTTAGGGTGTAGATAATGGCGTTTTTTGAGACGTAATTTTAGGAAAGAGTTTGTTTGTTTTGGTTTTCTTTTACATTATATAAGTATTATTATTGTTTATCTAAGTGCCGCGCCTGGAATTATTCGGCCCAAAATGTCGGAAAGACCTCTTAAAAGCCAACTAAGACATTATATACCAAAATAGCTGCACTCTTTGCTAGGAAATCTTTGACTACACGGTTGGTGCGGTGGCTGGGCAACTGGCTGCCGTGCAACGTGTCGCGGGTTCGGTTCGCGTACGGAACAACTCTTTGTTGTTCCACAAATTGTTGTTCCGGGTCTGGGTGTCATGTGTATGTGAAATTGTATGTTTGTAACGGCACCCTGTTTAAGTGTGGGAGAGCCATGCTTCGGCACGAATGGGTCGGCTCGGCCGGAGTGATACCACGGCCTCACAGAAAACCGGCGTGAAACAACCACAACGTTGTGTTTCGCCGTGTGAGTGAGGTTACCGGAGGCCCAATCCTTCCCCTACCCCAATCCCTTCCCAGTCCAAAATCCCAAAATCCCAATCCTTAAAATGTCGGCAACGCACTCGTAATTACTTCTTTGTTGCGGGTGTCCATGGGCGACGCCGATTGCTTACCATCAGGTAATCGGCCATCAGCTCGTTTGCCGCCCTATCACATAAAAAAAAACCCACGACACAGGAGAAAATCCTACAACGACGTTTTTTTTTAAGATATATCTATTCAAAAATATACAAGTCCTTAATAAAATGCCATCACAATACTACCTACTAAACAGAATAATATCATCTCGAAATGGATCGATAGTTCTAAGAAAAAATCTGAATGGACCTCGTACAAGACATCTCCTTCGACTTGTCACTTACAACTGACAATTATCTCTCTTATTATAATTTTTTATACCTACCTTTAGTTATGTATAAGTATGATTTAATCAACTTACCTACAGATATCAGGTTCGAAAGTGTATAACTTTTTCGGCACATTACCCTCCTTGATTGGAGGGAAGATTGAGGAGTCAGATCCATTGATTTGTCCGCAGTATTTGTCACCCCACATCGGCATGACCTTCTGTCCTTTGTAGGAGACAATGTTGCCAAGTTCATACACATTCTCTCTACCACGAACCATCTCGTAGGGCCCGGATTCGGAGCGGTTCATCTGGAAAATGATATAGTAGGTTATCTTAGGAAGGTGACGTTTTAAGAGTAAGATGCATTTTATAAGAAGTATATTGTGAATGTTTTGAGATCGCCGCATTTAAAATTACTTATCGGATTTTTAATTCATATAGACATGTTCAGAAATCATACTTATCGTAAAAAGTCTGTTTTAATTTGACCATGTCGAGTTCCTACTTTTAAAGAATTAGCAAGAAAAAGTATTGACGCCATTTTGTGCAGATAAAAAATAAATTTGTATGCATATAAGTTAAGCAAGTAGTACCTACTTTAAGTACCTAACAGCTAACATTATTGTAACTTTATGTTAATGTTATGTAATTAGTATTAAAAGGAATAAAGCTTATAAATTCATTCTAGATGTTAGAGACATAATAATTATTCTCACAATCATAACTTACATGTGAAAACATGGAAAAATAGAATCCATTGGCTCCTTCAGCTGGTCGCATAGTGGGAGGCGTGTCGCTCTTTATTTTACCACAAACAAGACCTGAAATAAAAATAAAATTGAAATTTTAAATTATGTACCGTAGACACTACCGTTTTTTTTGGGTGAAAACGCACAGGCTTCCTCAATTTAAACATTTTAAATCTTATTTTAAGAGTAACAAAGTTTAAAGTCACTTGAAGAGTTTGTTAGGTTAGGATAACTTTGGTACCTATTTAGGTGTCTGTCCATTGAACTCAGGTCAATCTTATTAAGACCAGATGCTCCACCAGTCGGTCCAAAGGGAAAACTCAGTCTGTCTATAACACTGAATATTTTACTTTTATCGAACTGCTTCGAAGGAAATCTGTTTTGAATTTCAATGAGCATCATAGAACTTATTCATCTTAATTTATGTACCTAGGTTGTTGAAAAGGAAAATATTTTAATACTGATTTCAGGGACTATTTTCACAATAAGGTTTTTTTTTTCGAAACGTCATCGCTATTATCCTACATCTATTTCTCATTATAAGTACAAACGAATCTTAGGTATTGGTACTTATACCTAAGATCTAGCCAGGATACGGATACGGAAATTGTTTTTAAAATTAACAAGTTAAAAAAAAGAAGAACTAACTGCTTAATTTGATTACTTACTTCATTGCTTTGCTGTTTAATTTGAATGAGTTCTTATAAAATCGCGGTACGTTTTTTAAGGCAGAGTTCCTAGTAGGCAAATTACAAACTTTTCATCAGTGACAACAATAATAACAAAATGCAATGCAAAAAAGGCTTATTGCTATTGAGAAAAGATTATATAGACCCGACACCATTCAAGGCCTTTGATGGAATTACTGGCATGGAAGTCTACAGGAGGAATTTAATTCAAACCCCAAGCAAACACGTTCGCGTACCTATTGTCTTACTGTTGTGTCCCATAATACCACGATTGAAAGGTTAATTATCTTGTGCGATAAAGTAAGCTAAACTTACCCAAAGCAGCATTATCGCCATCACAGCTCAAGTAGATGCCATCAAAGAAGAGATCTCTCACTTTGACCCTTAGAAAGGCGTCCTCCAGACTTGGGAAGAACTGCTCGAGCGCTTTGTTGACCATTCCAACGAAACTTGGCATCATGTCGTGGACTGTTAGCAGGGCAGCCTGGAATACACAGAATAGGAATTTAAAACTTACTGTCTCGATATTAGATTCAATTGAGTTTAACATTAACAGGCGAGATAGTAGCCCATGGCTAATAAAAAACATTTTACATATATTATTTGTTTATCATTCTGTTATACATGTAGTACGTACGTAGTTACTAAGTATATTTCATAAGGCGTAATTTTTTTTACACGTTTCCTCTTACTAGAGCGTTCTCTTGTCGATGTCGTGGGGGTGTGTATAAATATACCTACAATTTCACGAACACATCACACAATTTCTGGATCACATAAAGAAGTGTTTCGTGTAGAAATTGAACTCGCGATACGTTGCACAGGAGCCAATCTAACAGCAGAATAGCCTAACTATTGCGCCAACCGCCAATCTTGAACTAACTTGAAGAAGACTAAGACACTAAATGTCTTACAATTGGTACCTTTTTTCTTCTTCAGCGTACACGACATTTTTTGTGATTCTAATCAAATGCGAGTGGTCAATAGACCATTTACCACTACGGGATCGATGGTCAAGAGCATCTGAGTGTAGTTTCGAAACAGTGAAACGAAGAAGAAAATGATAATACGTTTAAAAGACATGTTTAAGAAATATTTATAAGTAACAAGTTTTAGCAACAATTAAGTTGAAATATTTGTAACCAAATCTTATGCTGGATAACAGAACATATTCAAGGATTCAACCTCAGAAAAAATTAGATACCTACAGTACCAAACCGTATTTTCTTGGTAGGTATATTATTAAATTCCCTTTTCCAGAATGTTCCAGTGAGACTAAGATTAGTGAAGTAATCAGGAAGACGAATATCGATCTACGTGTAAGACCTTTTGGCAGGAAGACGGGTGAATGACCTTACGTAGGCATTGCCTTCCTCTCAATTTGAGAGTTTGTTTTCCGATACCCACGATATCCATCACCAGCCTATAGGTACTGCTGAGCAAAGGCGTCTTCCCACTCGGAGAAGGTTAGAGCATTAATCAAATTCCACGATATCCATGATTAAAAGTATTTTTATGAGATTAATAAACACATTTCTTGCTAACTAATGGAAGAGATTAAATTAAACTTAGGTAAATATATATGTATATGTATGACACTTTCGGTAAAATGTCCTCTACGTCAATTGAAATTCCCGGTATCGATATTCAATCGAACGGAAAAACCCTGATTGATTTTGTACAGCAATGAATACACTATATTAGTTAAAGTATTAGATTAGATTTTTAGTAGGAGCAGTTCTATCAAGAAATAAAAGAAAATTTACTAACACCACCGATTTTCACCATATGAAATATTTCTGCAAAGTACGCTACAGTAATTTTTTCATTACCAACCGTATTATAATGATCTTATCTCAAACGAATATTTTCATACATCTATATTTATAATCGTATACCTAAGTGATTTCCTTTTCATCCTTATTTCTTAAGCAACAAGTTCGACTTTCAATATTCAAGTTTCAATAGAAAATATTTGCACTATAAAAGTTATTTTAAATTTTCATCCTTATGTCTCAAGCAACAAGTTCGACTTTCAATAGAAATATTTCTTACCAAGTATGAAAAGTTGATGACAGTAACCTCGTCGTCCTCTGTGAGGTCTCCTGAGGCCACGGGATCGAACTCGAAGCGTTTACGTAGCATGTATTTGATCGTGTCATTTGGGCCGTACCCTAAAATCGTTCTCTCTCGATATTGCCTGAAAAATAACAAAATATTACATATATTTGACATGCAAAAGATTCAAGTGTGGGAGAGCCTAGCTTCGGCATGAATGGGTTAGCTCGACCGGAGTGATATCATGGTCTCACAGAAAACCGGAGTGAAACAACCACAGCGTTATGTTTCGCCGTGAGAGTGAGGTTACCGGAGGCCCAATCCTTCGCCTTCCCCGATCCCTCCCAATCCCTAAATCTCCAAAACCCTAATCCCTAAAAGGTCGGCGTTGATTACTTACCATCAGGTAATCCGTCTGCTCGTTTGCCCACCTATTACATAAAAAAAATGGGACATTTGGAAATAATTCAACTGAAGCGATTGCCTGGAAGAAATCGCCTTGTGTGAAACGACCACCCATTGTAATCACAACATTCTTTTATAGTATCCAACGTATTGCTTCTTAGCATATTTGTGCTATAGAGTATATACATATATGTGTAAATAAATAATTAAAAAAAAGCTGTCCGCTACACTTTTTAAATCTCTTTTACGTAACACTAGTTTTAGCTCACGATTTTCAAACTTTGCTATTCCTGTATACAAGAAAATTCAGTTTCTGACCATATTCTATGCAAATCACACTATCTTTCTACTAGTGTTTTCAATAGTGCAGATAATCAGTAAAGGAATTTCTTTACAAATGGAAGGACCGATCTTATATTGGATATTCATTGCAAGATACAGGAAGATGTCGTCTCCAAGATTGATTAACTTAATATTGACCAAACTAAGCATCGTACTGAAGTCAGAGTTGATTGATTAGTAGCAATCAAGACTATATTTTATTAGGATTACCCTGGAATTGTAGAAAAGGTGGGAGGATAGATAGAATGACTATCCATTAATAATGGCAGTCGTTAAGTTAGTCCGATGTTTTCTGGGTAGAACTAAAATTAGGATTCCTCGAATGGATTACTGATGTTTTGGGATTTATTTAGTAACAAGTCAGTTGTAAATATTTAGGTCTTAAGTAACAATAATAAAGTTCACTCATTAGTTGATTGGATGAAAATAGTTAATGCATAACGACGGGTAATTTTCTTTATATCAAAGGTCAAACGAGCGGTCGTATTATCTGATGACAAGCAATTAGCACCACCCATGGACACCCGCAACGGAGGAGTTTCGAGTGCGCTGCCGACCTTTTAGAGATTAGGGATTTGGAGATTTAGGGATTGGGGCAAGGGAAGGATTGAGCCACCGGTAACCTCACTCACACGGCCAAACACAATGCTGTGGTTGTTTCACGCCGGATTTCTTTGAGGCTGTGGTATCACTCCTGTCGAGCCGACCCATTCGTGCCTAAGCATGGCTCTCCCACACTAATTGTTTTTGGGTTCGATAAAGTTTAAAAGTAAAAAAGTATAATTGTAATTACATTACAATTACATTGTATTGCTACTTAAACTAACTAAAATCATACGTTCTAGAATGCAGGGTTTATCATTTGTAATAAATTTGCCGATTACCATCTAACTCATAAGTTCCACCACGTTTGCTTGAGGTGGATAAAGGATAAGTGACTTCACAATTTCAAGTAGAAATAATAAGTCCAGGATACCTCACGATGCTTACCTTCACTGTATGTTAGTGGTATCAAAATAATCTTAGAAAAATCATATAACTCGGCAAAAATACATTGGTACTTGCGAGGTTCGAACACTCATGCATGAGGAGCGAGCGAGAGCCTTAAAAGCGCCGAGCTACCACGATATTGAAAATTCGTATGTTAATAATATCTATGTATATATGAATTTTCATTACTCATGTCTGTACCAAACCCGAAACCCCTTTGTCCATTATGTATCTTGATATATGGAAACATTTAGATGCATATTAAATTCCTAGTCCAAAGTCTAGACTGCATGATAGTACAATTTATATTCATTGGACGGAAAAGGGAATCATATTTAAATGTCATACTTGATATAATTTTTCTTTAATATTTGAGAAACATTTTGATTTAGCTGGGTTTTAGATAGTCTGGCGATGCATGTAATAAATGTTTGCTATATTTTATTGCCCATCTCCAATCTGGTTAGGTGGATTCCCGAAGCCGCTATGATAACAAATACTTAAAAATAGAATAAGTAGGTCCATACTGTAGGGGGCCACACAACAAACTTGAATTTGCTACAGATCTCTTTACTTGTGCGGTTTGTTACCTTATCAATTCTCATTGTGAATTCGATATGGCCTTTAGCTTTAGCGTAGGCAATAAATTACAAACTTGTAACTTGAAAAATGTTCAAATTTGGTACATATCTAGGTATTCTCACATAACAAAACCGACTAAATAATATGACAAAGAATGGAATTGTAAAACTGAAAAGCTATTATTTAATTTAATAATTTTGAATTTGGATGTAGGTAGGGTAATAATACCTATCTATCATATGCCGCTCACGTTCACCTAAAGCCCGTCGTCAAAAAAGTCCAATAATACTTTTACTTTTCCTGTCATGGTATTGTATCCAGTCGAGGCAGACGTAAAAATATTTTACTGCACTCATTACATCACAAGCTATCAGCATATAGGTAGTGTCTACTGATGAACAAATGCGTCCTACGCATTAATCACCACGCTTGCTCAAAGCGGGATGGCAATCTTGGCCTTATAGGTCCAGGTTTTCTCATGCCGCCAATGATGTGCCTGCCAACGATATTTTCCTTTACCGCATGTGACTAGGTCTGGTGTGTCTTATTAATTGTAGAAATTATAAGTCACATTAGTACTACCAAATATGACCAAAACCTTATTATTTTTTTCAGTTAGGTCTATTATCAAATGATTTCTCTCGCCTTGGTTTGAAGTGTCTTACTAAAAACCTCCCCGTTCCTTTTCCTGCTGCAGGCCGAGGCCGCGAGACAATATTGCACATGACCTTCAACCCTAGCAGATGCCGAAACCCCCATACATTTGTGGTAATGGGCTTAACCTCCGGGCTACAATGGCATTACAATTTTAAGGTCAGTAAATGTATCTTAAACGGGATTACTAAACTAAGTTCACGAATTCAAGTCCTTAACTTGGACAATTATGATGATTTATGCTTGATACGAACAGCTCATGATTACCTTATTGTATAAATTTAAAGGACATTTTAAAACGAGTGTCACCTTCGTTATAGAACTTAGTTGAACCCAAAGAATCTTAAAAGTATAAAATTTTTGTCCTATTATTATCTACCTGACTCAATTAGGTACCTGCCTGTAATAAAGGACATATTATTTTTACCAAAAACTGGTTACGAATTCTATAATTCAAAAGTATACAAATTACTATGTGCGAAGGGCAATTTTAGCAGGTATTTGTTAATTTGGATGATAAATAACAATGTTATAAACCATTTTAAATTAATTATGTTATTGTATGTTAATTTGAAAAGATTTTATTTAAATTATTATATTTGTTCGCTTCCATTCCGTGGGACCAGATGTTCTTAGACCTTTGAAAGACGTTTGAGCCAACTCGCAGAGACCCGTTGAGCAATTTTTATTTAAATGTCATGGAATGAGTATTATCCTGAAATGCACTATTAAAGTGCACCCAAGGTTGTCCTTGGGTGAAACCGACGATTGTTCATCGGATGCAGCAGCAACTATGCAACTATGAAGGACTATTTTGAAATGTGGTGAAAATGATTATTGCTCTTTTTTGAGAGAGGAAGACCATCAAATGACTTCTCCTGCCAAATGTGTCAGACTCTTCGAGAGAGGTCGAGACCGCGGTGCCTCATTGCGCTTGTTCCGCAATCCCGGCTGGGGTATGTAAAGGTAAGATGATATTTTACCTAGTAAATCGATCACCCATTAACTAGTAAATATACTTTGCATTCGAGAATAATTCTTATATAATATATAATATTTAATAAAAAGTATTTCTTCTTACTTGTAAACATAAGGTCCAATTTCATTGAGTATCGGTTTTTCCCCTCGGTTCACATCTTCAACGTTTGTGACGTTGAACACGTATACTTTGAAGTCCAACGGCATCGGCAGCTTCAGCCATTTGTCGAACATCATTGAATTGTTCTCTAGCTGCACATTCTGGAATGAAGAAATATATATTAAGTCATCAGCCTGTAAGTGGCTACTTCTGAGCAAAGGCCTCTGCTCACACTGAGAAGATTTAAGCTCCACGCTTGCTCAATGCGGATTGGCGATTTCCAACTGACTAAAAATTATAAGCCCAGTTTTCTTTCGCCGTATATCATTGGTGACTAAATAATCATAGAAAGTAAATAAAACTTGGAAAAGATACATTGGTACTTGCTAGGTTTCGAACCGTCATGCATGATAAGCCTTGACTTAACTAATTGGAATAAATAAGTTTTTTTAATAATTCAAGATACTTGTGTATCAAGTATCTTGAATTATTAAAATTGAGTAGTTTTGTGTAAGAACCTAATTGCTTGCTTCTTGCACAACCATTGGCCCATCTATGGAACACCCAAGGATCGAATGGTAGGAAATGCCCAAGGTAGTAAGTCCGCCTATGTACCCCATTGTGCATGAAATTTTAATAAATAAATTTACAACGTCAATTTTTATGAAGGCCTCATCCAGGAAGACAAGTCGTCAAAATGTGATTTGCATAATTTTAGTTAATCATGTAGTTTAAAGGAAAATGTTCTTATGGAAATAAGGAAATCTACTTAAACCCTGTCATAAAACCTATTGTTTTCGATAACATCAAGCTAATGACGTTATACTACTAAAAAGGTTACGTTGTTTCAATTTACGATGTTTTCCAACAAACCGTAAATAAACAATTCATTCTATTCATTGTCAATTAAAACTTTATGGCAATCAATACCTATAATCAATTTGTTTAGTATTTTTGTCATCGTCACTGTTGATCATTCTATGATTATTTAGACACCACTGACATACGGTGAAGGTAAACATCGTGAGGAAGCCTGGACTTATAATTTCAAATTTTAAGTTTGAAATCGCCAACCCGCATTGAGCAAGCGTGGTGATTCATGCTCTAACCTTCTCCGTATGAGAAGATGCCTTTGCTCAACAGTGGGCACTTATAGGCTGATGATGATGATGATTGTTGATCGTCATCGAATTTACGGACAGGAAGATGGTTTGAGCATTAACCACGCTTGCTCAGGACAAATTGGTGTTAATTAGTAATTATAAGTCTAGGTCTCCTCACGATGTGTTCTTACTGCGGTGTCTAAATACACTTACACCCGGTTTCTGAAAGGCTCCTGTTAAATCTCTTGTCAAGTCATCTGATTGGTTGTTGATAATTCAGTCAACCTTTTAACATTGATCGGCCTTTCGGAAACCGGGTGTTAGGCAGCATGTATAACTCGGAAAAAGTCACATTGGAACTTGCCAGGTTTTGAAGAGGGCGCATCTCATGCATGAGGGTGAGGGACAAATTTAGATAAAATTTTAACTCAATAGAAATTTTAATTTAGTTATAGTGTAGGAAAACCATGTTTTGTCACGAATGGATAGGCTCGACCGGAGTGATGACACGGCTTCACAGAAAACCGGTGCAGAACAACATTAACGGACTAACTACCTATATGTTTCACCGTATGACACATCTTGAGTGGACTGTTGGTAGAACTATTATCATAAAGCCGTCATTTTATGTACTTACTGCGTAGAATGTTACAAACATATGCATACTACTCGTACGTATATTAGGTGTACTTATATTTAAATGCGCCGCGGCGTCGCTCCCGTCATTTGACTACCTATCCTACTCTACCTACCCTACTCTATCTACCCTACTCTATCTAACCTACTCTACCTACCCTACTAGATCCTCTCCCAGATCTAAGCTACCTCCCTGCCAATTTTCAGCTAAATCGGTTCAGCCGTTCTTGAGTTATAAGTGAAGTAACTAACATGACTTTCTTTTATAATATAGATATAGGTACATATTAAAGTTGCATTTTGTAATCAAACATTGTTCCAATTTGTACTTCTTTATTGTACCTATCTTTCTTTTTCTACACCTCCAAGAGGTTGACTGGTAAGAATGTCTTATATAATGTTGCACAAAGATTAAATAAATAAACAAAAATAAGTATAGTAACCGGAGGCCCAATCCCTAATTGCCATCCCCAATTCTCCTAATTCTAAAATCTGTTAAGACCGGGTATTCACTTGAAACTATTCTGTGTCTATGGGTGGCGCCATTGTTTTTTTTTTCGATTATTTACCAGCTGAAGACCAGTCTACTCATTTGCCACTCTATCCCATTTAAAAATTACTTCAAGATGCTGCTAGGAATACTGGATTACTGCAGGAATATGATAGAAGTGGTATGTTACGACAGTGAATGAAAAATTAATACTGCGTTTTTTTCCTATCATTGTATTTAATTAAATAAGTGGGCTTCATTTCGTCTGCTTCAATACTAAATTAGTCAAATTAGTTTAAAAGCAGCAGTTTAGAAATATTTCATAGTTTGAAGCACATTTTCTATTGGAATTTTGGTAATGGGTGTAATGGTTAGAATATTATAATGGCCAAGTTACCCTGTGCAAATTGTTCAGCTTACTTTATTGTTCTAATGATGATAGATGATGAATTTTATATTTTAACTAGCGACCCGCCCCGACTTCAGACGGTTTTTTTGTGAGTGGAAAATCATCAGATGACTTCTCCCGCCCAAGGTGGGCGGGAGGGTTCAGACGGGTATAATGCTGATACTAAATTTCACCCCATTTTATGAATTTTGTTATGCATATAAAAAGTCCTCTTTAATCATTCTATCTATTAAAAAGACCGTATCAAAATCCGTTGCTTAGTTTAAAAGATTTAAGTAGGTATAGAAATATAGGGTCAAATAAAGCTACTTTCTTTTTAATCTATGTAGTGATGTACCTAAACAGATAGTAAAGAAAAACACCCTTAATCGATGCCTGTGTATCAAACTTTATTTGCAGAAAAAGCAAAAGAAACATGTCTCAATCGCGTCATTTCCCTTCAATGGTTTCTGCCTACCCCAATTAGACAAGGGGAGATGATATGTATATATACAATAAGAGATATTCAAAAAATACTCTACATATACATGAGAAGTGTTCAAAGCGAAGTTGTGTACGCCTAGAGCATGATCCAGTAGGCACCGTAACTAAGGCGCCACAGCCTCGGCCTAGAGCAGGAGAAGGACCGGGGGTTTTTAGTCAGCAAGAGTCTGACACTACCTCTCGCCCCATCCCGGGCGGGAGAAGTCATTTGATAACATCAACCTAATGACATTATACTACTTATAATAGAAATGACCCAAAGACACAGTTTCTTAAATAAATGAACAGCTGATAAACATGTTATAATTGGCAGAGTTATTTTGTTGTTTGTTTTATTTTATTTTAGATGCAAATTTATGCAAAGTGTCATAAAAAATAAATAAATAATTGACATGTATATACAAAAAAAAAGATAGGTATACATGGATGTTTGTCAATTTTAGCTTTGTTTGCAAGGGCAGTCGAGGTTGTTAACTCGAAATAAGGACAAAACGGTTTTAAAGCTATAAGGTACGTACTACGTTATTTTAAGTCCGAATATTTTAGGATTTGTTTTGGCTTTTAGCAGGTTTTAAGTACCTGGATAGTGGTTTTTATTGTTATTGTTGTTGTACACTTAAACACTCAAGTTTTTAGTACCTACACAAATGTTTTGAGGCTTTAAATTATCTATACTTCTATACTAATATTATAAAGAGGTAAAATTTGTAAGTTTGTATGTAGGGGGTAATCCTTGGAACCGCGGTCGGATTGCCAAAATTCTTTCACTGATAGATAGCTACAATGTTCCTGACAAACCTATCAAACATCACGCTACGATTAAATGGATCCGAGCAGTTAGTTAGTTTTAAATAAGTTAAAGATTTTTCTGGAGGTAAAAGCATAATTCATGAGATTTGCAAAATGCTTTATTCCTGATTAGTCGTAGGTCTTTTTTCTATCTTCTGCGGGACGTTAGGTCTCCTCCACATAGGGAGACAGGTTACCTAAAGTCTCCACGATTGATTGAAATTGCGCTTGTTGAGAGCCAGTTCCTATTTATCTAAGGTCAAAAATAAATTAATTCGACGTTTCAATACAATAAAATATTGAAAAATAACTATAATTTTATTCATCGATCGATCGATACATACAGTTTTAGATATTTTTTAGCTAATTATTAAGAAATAAGTAAGCTATTTGACGCAAAAATGCTTCGACGCCATAACTCAGTTTTTCATACAAATTTTCATAGAAAAGTATCGTTTTTGACGTTTGGAATAAAAGTATTGAATTTGACTAGTTGGAAACTTCAGTAGTTTTATTATCAGAGACTAGGACGGTGCCACTTACTTTGCCATTACCGCGACACGATTGTGCAAGATAGGATTATACATATATTTCTGTCGAGTTGCGTTTGCAATTGCGATAATATATGGCTACACCAGCCTGGAGCAGGAGAAGGAACGGGATTATTTTTAGTCAGTAAGAGGCTAGATGATATTCCCCTTCAATGGAAAAGCATATCCTACTAATAAATAAATAAAGAAATTACGGAATACATAAATTTGAGATTATTTACAATCTTACCAATATATAATTAACACAAAGAATGTAGTATTGAAGGATTTGATGGAATCGTATGCAAAAAAAGTGATGAATACTAGACAGGTTCTCATCGAGAGTCATTAGAAAGATCCGGCTTTTTTCGGACACGTTTTTTAATTAGTGTGGTAATAAAAAGCTTATACCAGTTTGACTGGTGACATAATCTGCACTCTATTGGACACAATATGGATATGGATTGACGATTGCTCACACTAGGATTTTTCTTTAGCGTTTTTACGAACCTACAAATTCACACACATCACACTCAGACCTGGAATTTGCATATACTAGATCACACAAAGCATTGTGTTTCGCCGTGTGAGTTAAGTTAGTTAGGAGTAAGGAGGCACAAACCTTCCCCTCTGCCTATCTCTCTTCAATCTCTAAACCTCCTATATCCTAAGCCCCAAAAGGTAAAGGCTGCCACTCGTTATTCCTCCGTGGCGTCGCCGC